ATGCACAATATACATGTATCCCTTGCTCTATGACAACGAATTTGATTTGATTTGATTTGATTTGATTTATTTGCAATTTCCACACAATGATGATACAGTTTGAATATAAGTTAAGATTTAACAAAACACATCAAAATTTATCAAAAGTCGTATAAAAAAATAACAATAAGACTTAGAAAATCCCCATGCAGTGGAAAAAGCGGGGACAACGCAAAAAAACTTATAAAACTTATTTCCATTGCGGTCCCAAAAATGTGTCTTATGCATTGTACCTCCTATAGGCCTACATATACAGAGTATAAAAATCAACACTTCATATTAAAGCCGACAAAGCATTTTCCTGTTATTAAAAGCACATATACAAAGTGAGGAAAAATGTATATATACCTAAGCTTAATACACGATATCTTAAATTTAAAACCATCAAAAATCTTTCAATTACTTAATATTGCACCAAAAAGACAAAACTACGAATTACGACCGACCCAGACCTATATTAAACATCTTGTTAACATCAACATTTATGATGTACATGTACTTGATTAAGACAATAATTTAAATTCATCTGCTTAGATTTAATTAAATATACAAAAATAAAAGATTAAACAATACAAAAAATACTAGTAACCGTGGTTAAAAAACATATACATGAACATGTATAAGATGAAGTTCATATAAAAATATGTTTTATTTAAATTACATTAAAAAAACACAAAAAACATCGCTATTAATACATCAATGCATGTAAGAGGACGCCATCCTGCCCTCGTCACACAAGGTATTCCTTGTCAAAAGTGCATTATGAACAGTACAGAAATTAGTCCTTCAGAATTACCCAAAAACAAAAGTTTAGGAAAAATATTATCCACTACTTTTGTCCAAACAAGCTGTTAAAACGTGATTTATAAGTAAAATGTGGAAGTTACCTAAAGAAAATGAAGAAAAGCTGACAGTATATTAGTACACAAAGCTATGGAGACACTATCGCTCTGCCTTGAATGACATCACACCCTGGCTCATGAATTAGGAAATTTCCTTTAGCCTAAAAACAGGTAACTAAAATGATGTAACCTATCCCCATCCCCCCTCACAGCCACAAAGGAGGTGGACAGTCATTGTTACATGGCAAGAAAGCTGTTTAAACTGAAGTTAAGTAATAAAAATCCTACTACATTTTCCCTTTAAACAGTAATCTGAAAGGAATGTATTATATAAAAATCTTAACTTAGATCATATGGCAATAAAAAGCACTAAAAATCTGTATAGCCTTTAACCCCCTGCGCTCGGGATTTTATTGCTCGAACGACCGCACAGCACATCATTGCACTTAAAAACCAAAAACAAAAATTATCATCGGGAATGAACAAGTAAACATCTTTAGCTGGATTCGGAAGCTAGGATTTTGTTTAAAAAATGAATGCTTTGAGGTTGGTTTTAAACAAGGTTTTCCTTTCATGCAGTTTCAGGATGGATGGAAGTGAATTCCATAATGTAATTCCAGTGTAGAAAAAAGAGTTGATTCTGTTCCTTTAATGTGTGGAACAAAAAATTAAATTGCTTAGATCTCGTTAGGTAGTAGTGAACTTCCGTAATGTAGGTAAAATTGTGTTTGAGATAAGTGGGGGATTTTTGGTGAAAAATGTTATGAACATGATTTGCTTTTTAAAGAAACTCCACTCTATGGTGAATATCCAGCCATCCTATTTCATAAAATTATGTGTAAACAATATGGGATCTAGAGGGGAGGTTGTTGATAAAGCGGATAGTTTTGTTTTGGCAAATTTGAAGTTTGTTTTTGAATATTTGTGACAGTGAAGAATACCAGGATCAGCAACAATAATCAAAGTGGCAAGATATTAAGGCCGTACACAAGATTTTCCTAGCCTTTGTACTTTGTAACTATTTTGATATCGGTACAAAAATTTGAGTCTTGAGTTGGCTTTTTAAATCATATGTTGCGCAATCTGGAGCTACCGTTCAAATCCTGTTCCAGTTCAAATCTTTAAAGAAGTGCACTTTTCGATACAATTATCCCGCCTGCAAACAGATCCGCTTTGCGAGCAGACCGGCTCCTCCCGGTCCGTGCATTGTCGATACTGATTGTGGGGCAGGAACAAATATATTCCGCAAGAACGGCAATTAATTATTGTCTGGCAGCCAATAATTCACAAATAATTCAATAACTGGAAAGAAATCCATAACTGGACATCACTTGACACCCTGTGCACAAACCCTATGAGACTGGTCTGAATTTTTTTTAAGTGTTTCTGAGTTAATGGTTCAATACTTTCCCTGCTATATTTGACTTTTTAAGACATCTTATCGCTTTCGGTCATTGCAGGGAAAAATTAGTGATGGCCATAATCATGGAATTCTTTCCAACTAACTAAACATGAGCCCAGTGGCGGTTCTACGGGGGGCGAGGGGGAGCTTTAGCCCCCCCCCCCCCAATTTTGTCTAGCCCCCCCCCCCCCAAATAAAAATTCCATTAAAAAAAATGCACTAGCAAAATGTAAGAATTTGACGTACATGGGAACGTTCTCCCCCTAAATGAGAAGGGTGCATTTTGTACACTTTTAGTTAATATAGTGTGCCTGATTGCAGCGCTCCCCGTTGAAAATATGGCACGAGCCCCCCCCCCCCCCCCCCGTATTGATTTTCAGAGGCCTAAGTGTCCGGAGAAAATAACTACATTTCAGCACGCCTCCCTGAAAAAATCTGGATCTACCTTGCTAGCCCCCCAAAATATTGGCTCTAGAACTGCGCCTGCATGAGCCGAATTTATTCTATATTAGACAGTTATGAGAGCCATGGAATTGGGGAATGTACCTCTGGCCTGGACTTGGGCTTCCAATTCTGTGTATTTTGGCTGCAACTGAGCTCGAAAGTGGCGGTATTTAGCCATGTTGCGGAGGGATCATTTTTCAAGATGGCTACTTTTTCCAGTTTGGGAAACATCACTCGTTTTAGGGGTGGTCTTCTTGGAGTGAGAGTTTCTCGAGAAGTAACCCACCAAAAATTGAACAGAAAATGAAAGATGACATGTTGATCATCATTTTTCTGTGCAGCCTGCATGAACACCTGTGAGAGTTCTGAGTATTTTTAAAAGAAATGTAAAGTATGGCCATCTGAAGCAGATGGCCATCAGCCAGTATACGCGTATACTGACTGGACACTATTATTATATATATGACGAGTATAATATAATTATCACTGGTGTCTATGGGAATTCTTATACTGGGGTGCACCCGTGTGGTTGTCTTTCCAACGTTTGAGGATCTCTTGCTTTTAAGGATCTCGTCCTTGATTACTTTGACAGTTTTGTAAACCCCCTCCATGTCTGCGAACTGCTCTTCAATCCAGTTTTTTCGCTTTCTTCGTGCTCTTCTTGATCTCGTTGATCACTTCTGTATCTCCTTGCTTCGAAAGCCCTGTAGTGCCATCAAGTATATATTTTGTCGAAGTTCGTTTTTATGAGATACATTTTTCCCTTCGTTCGAATTTACGAGATACATTTTGTCGAAGTTCGTTTTTATGAGATACATTTTTCCCAAAGTTCGTTTTTACGAGATACATTTTGTCGAAGTTCGTTTTTATGAGATACATTTTTCCCAAAGTTCGTTTTTACGAGATACATTTTGTCGAAGTTCGTTTTTATGAGATACATTTTTCCCAAAGTTCGTTTTTACGAGATACATTTTGTCGAAGTTCGTTTTTATGAGATACATTTTTCCCAAAGTTCGTTTTTACGAGATACATTTTGTCGAAGTTCGTTTTTATGAGATACATTTTTCCCAAAGTTTGTTTTTACGAGATACATTTTGTCAAAGTTCGTTTTTATGAGATACATTTTCTCGAAGTTCGTTTTTATGAGATGTATTTTCTCGAAGTTCGTTTTTATGAGATATATTTTCTCGAAGTTCGTTTTTATGAGATACATTTTGTCGAAGTTCGTTTTTATGAGATATATTTTACGGAGTTACGGAGTTTTATGAAGTTACGGAGCCCCTAAAGGGACATCCAAAATTATTTCCTTATCTCGTGCGCACGACATAATATCTCATGCGCACGAGATAATTATCACTTGCGCACGACATATATCTCGTGCGCACGACATATATCTCGTGCGCACGAGATAATTATAAGTATTAACGGAGCTTGCTGCACGTGCAGCGGACGAGTTTGTGTGTAACGAAAGCAGCGTGTCAGGTACGGAGCCCCTAAAGGAACATCCAAAATTATTTTTTTATCTCGTGCGCACGACATAATATCTCGTGCGCACGACATATATCTCGTGCGCACGACATAATTATCTCGTGCGCACGAGATATATGTCGTGCGCACGAGATATATGTCGTGCGCACGAGATATTATGTCGTGCGCACGAGATAAGGAAATAATGTTGGATGTCCCTTTAGGGGCTCCGTAACTTCATAAAACTCCATAACTCCGTAAAATATATCTCATAAAAACGAACTTCGACAAAATGTATCTCATAAAAACGAACTTGGACAAAATATATACTTGATGGCACTACAGGGCTTTCGTACCTTGCCGCCTTCTGGGTCAACTTTCTTGTTCGATCTTCAAGTCAACAATTATGATAATTAATTTATAGGAATTCCTGGGAAAATGAACCTACACTTTTAAATTAACAGAGGCTATAAAAAATAGAGGCAATAAAACAAGGTTAAAAGTAATATAAACTCTTTACTGATATCTGCTCTTCAATTTCATTATAAAATTGGTAATATTTTGAATATTTTCTTGAAGTTTCTTGAGAATTTGTTGAATAAATCGTATCGTGTCCAAATTTTGACAATTTATGATCTCCCTCTGTCGCATGGATTCTGGATTTGCATGTTCGGCTGCATGCAGCTGATCGAGGGCGCGTGGGCCAACCTCGTCCCCAGGGTGTTGAGCAGTACGCGCCCATCACTACCTGCTCTCTCAAACGCGGTTGGAAATAAAGTAAGCACTGGGGAGAGGTTGCGCGCGGGCTGAATTGCAAAACCGTAGGCTGGCTTCAGCTTAATCAACCGGTGGATCGTGGGTAGAGCTTGGTAGTGGAGCTCTGATTATTCTTGATTCCAACCAACCGCAGTTGAATAAATCCTAGCTATCGAGACCAAAGTCACAACGGTAACGAGACCAAACATGGACCAGTAATTTAAGTAAACACGCAAGAGTGATGGCTTACCGGATTGAGACCGATAAACATGATGATATTGATATTGAACAGGAACAACAGCAGCCTGATGATCCGTATGAGGTGTCCTGTAGTTTGTCAAAATACCACACGGGTGACACGGATGCTGAGGATTCACAGGAACAAGTTGACAAAGTTAAAGAGCAACTTAAAAAGGTTGAACAGTCACCAGTTACGCCAGTTGATGAACATGAGGTTGAAAACAGCCTGAACATGCTGAAGGTACATGATGATGCACAGGAAACAAAAAATATGGACAACTATCTGCTGCAAACGTTGGATGAAATTGAAAGAAGGACTGAAAAATTACGGGAGACAGTCAGAGAGGTAGAGACAGAGAGATTGTATCTTCTCGAGTCACTTAACACTCTCATGCAGAGTCAAGCTCTAGTCAGTGCAGGTAATACAATGAATAGGCATACATAGTCATTAGTCAGAGTAACTTGGACGCTAGTCCGAGTAACTTGGACCCAACTTATCGCCTTTTTAACATTTGGACATGGTCTGGCGATAGTAGGGTCCAAGCTAGACCCGTGAACATGGCGTTGTTTACAAGCCATGTTCACGGGTCTAGGTCCAAGCTAATCCGTATATGCTGAGCAACACCACAATTTTGTCCATGACCCAAAAACCCAACGTTGCCCAACAAAAACATAAGATTTCACCCTCAAAATGGCCTAGTACAAATTACTAGATACGCCACCTGAGGCACAAGTAGGGGGTCCTACTAAAGTGCGTCAACAAGGGTCAACAAGCCTCAACGGTCGTCAACAAGCATCAACAAATTTTGTATATGCTTTTGAACATTAAAGTAGCTTTATATGGTAGAAAAAGCAATAAAGAACATCTTCTGCATATCAATTAAAGTTAAAATTATTCAAAAACTTGGTTTTTTTAATGCGAAATGTACGACAAATTTGTCGATTAGTGTTGGCCGCCATCTTGTTTGGATGGCGCTGTACACTTCGCGCATGTGTAGTATGGCTCTGTACACTTCATGCATGCATAGTAGGGCTAAGCTACACATAAACAAGATGGCGGCCAACACTAATCGACAAATTCGTCGTACATTTCGCGTTAAAAAAAAGTTTTTAAATAATTTCAACTTTAGTAGGACCGCAAGTAGGCATCGATGATTAAGATGGTTGTGTCGAGCGCAATTTGAGTCCTCCGTGCAAGTTTAAACCTGCGCGCACACAAGTTTAAACTTGCGCGTGCATTAATTTCCTTGCTACATATTGCGCACGCAAGTTTAAACTTGCGCGCTACATAGATTTTTACCATGCATGCAAAGCCGCCAAACTATTTTTTTTCCTGGTAAACTCATGCAGATATGTAACATTATTTTTAAAAGCAGATTTTTCTCCAATTAATAGCACCACTGTGCTTCGTGAGACAATGCCTTAATGCCTTTTTTGAAACATTTTATTTACAGTATATGCTAATGCGGTTGACTGTGTGGGTTCAGAGATAAGGGGTGGTAATGCGAACAATTTATGCACTTTCATGATGTGTATTATTGTTATGGCTGATTAAGATTTTTGTTAAATAAACAACATATTTATTCATTAATTCGAATAATTAATTAAATTAATAAATTAAATTAATTAATTAAATCATTAATAAATTTATTTACTTTTTAAAATAATTACCATTCTATAATGCATAGCGTTTTGAAGTTAAAGCACATAAACATTACTATGAATTATTGAGCCTACAAGAAAAATAATTGTTTAAAGTAATAAATTAAATTAATTAATTAAATTAGTAAGAGTTCATTAAATTTTTTTTCAAATTGTGCATTTTTGAAGTGTACACAGCGCTCGAAATGTTATGCAAAGTATTTTTAAAAACAAAATGAAATATTGTACCGTCCAATTAATTAATTGCTAAATTAATAAAATTAGTATTTTTTTAAGAATAAGTTCTTTTTTAATTGTACAGTACATGTAATATAATTTAAAGCATTTAAAAAATAATGTAAATATTACTATAACGTCAAAAATCTTGAACAATTGAAGGGTTGATAATCATTCTTTTACTTTAACCCTTACCCTACTTGACCCTCCAATGCATGCCAATTGTGCCTCAAGAAAATCTCCTATGTTTTTTGCATGGCCCTCCAATATCTGCCATGTCATTTCAAGGGTAACTGGACAGGCACTCCAATACATGCCACAGAGAACAATGAGAGTCCTCTGATAACAAAGTGAGTGCCCCCAGCTGGTCAGTATCAGGCACCCTCCAGGGCCTCCAACTCCTGCCAATTGGAGCCTTCACTGTTAAGACTTGTTATCTGCCAAATAACTGCAGCTGGAGGGCATTGGCATAACCAACTGACATGCAGTAAACTACCCTCAGAGAGTAAGGGTTAACAACAGGTTACCCCTAGGAAATTATGATTTATTTACATTTAAGAATATAAATAAAACGCTAATTAGTTTTACATATTATGCAAGGCAAAAAACCTTGAAGCTTGTCTCCATATTCGAACAACTTCAGTACTCTCTCTAAGCAATCACCGTGCTTATTGATTGCTTGCCTGGTCCCCTTCCTGCCCCCTAAAAACTTCTCTGATAAACACTGCTAAATCTCAATGTTTCTTTTCATTGACGCTATAATTGAATTTCATTTTCCATTATTTATTAATTTATTTCTCCATGTACTTGTGTTTCGAACATTTAGTTTTCTTCATCAATGAAAATCCTGCCCGCAAGGTTCTCAAATTGCGATCGCCTTTGCGCAAGTTCTAACGTGCGCACGCAAATTAAAATGACGCGGTGTAATTTGCGTGCTTCGGGAGTCCCTCGCGCAAGTTTAAACTTGCGTGCGCAAGTTTAAACTTGCTTGGATGATGTAATGGTTGCTGGGATGATGTGATGGTTGCTGGGATGATGTAATGGTTGCTGGGATGATGTGATGGTTGCTGGGATGATGTGATGGTTGCTTGAATGATGTGATGGTTGATGGGATGATGTGATGGTTGCTGGGATGATGTGATGGTTGCTGGGATGATGTAATGGTTGCTGGGATGATGTGATGATTGCTTGGATGATGTGATGGTTGCTGGGATGATGTGATGGTTGCTGGGATGATGTGATGGTTGCTGGGATGATGTGATGGTTGATGGGATGATGTGATGGTTGCTGGGATGATGTGATGGTTGCTGGGATGATGTGATGGTTGCTTGGATGATGTAATGGTTGCTGGGATGATGTGATGGTTGCTGGGATGATGTGATGGTTGCTGGGATGATGTGATGGTTGATGGGATGATGTGATGGTTGCTGGGATGATGTGATGATTGCTTGGATGATGTGATGGTTGCTGGGATGATGTGATGGTTGCTGGGATGATGTGATGGTTGCTGGGATGATGTGATGGTTGCTGGGATGATGTAATGGTTGCTGGGATGATGTGATGGTTGCTGGGATGAGGTGATGGTTGCTGGGATGATGTAATGGTTGCTGGGATGAGGTGAAGGTTGCTGGGATGATGTGATGGTTGCTGGGATGATGTGATGGTTGCTTGAATGATGTGATGGTTGATGGGATGATGTGATGGTTGCTGGGATGATGTGATGGTTGCTGGGATGATGTAATGGTTGCTGGGATGATGTGATGATTGCTGGGATGATGTGATGGTTGCTGGGATGATGTGATGGTTGCTGGGATGATGTGATGGTTGCTGGGATGATGTGATGGTTGATGGGATGATGTGATGGTTGCTGGGATGATGTGATGGTTGCTTGAATGATGTGATGGTTGATGGGATGATGTGATGGTTGCTGGGATGATGTGATGGTTGCTGGGATGATGTAATGGTTGCTGGGATGATGTGATGATTGCTTGGATGATGTGATGGTTGCTGGGATGATGTGATGGTTGCTGGGATGATGTGATGGTTGCTGGGATGATGTGATGGTTGATGGGATGATGTGATGGTTGCTGGGATGATGTGATGGTTGCTGGGATGATGTGATGGTTGCTTGGATGATGTAATGGTTGCTGGGATGATGTGATGGTTGCTGGGATGATGTAATGGTTGCTGGGATGATGTGATGGTTGCTTGGACGATGTAATGGTTGCTGGGATGATGTGATGGTTGCTGGGATGATGTGATGGTTGCTGGGATGATGTGATGGTTGCTGGGATGATGTGATGGTTGCTTGAATGATGTGATAGTTGCTGGGATTATGTGATGGTTGCTGGGATGATGTTATGATTGCTGGGATGATGTGATGGTTGCTGGGATGATGTGATGGTTGCTGGGATGATGTGATGATTGCTTGGATGATGTAATGGTTGCTGGGATGATGTGATGGTTGCTGGGATGATGTGATGGTTGCTGGGATGATGTGATGGTTGCTTGGATGATGTGATGATTGCTGGGATGATGTGAAGGTTGCTGGGATGATGTGATGGTTGCTGGGATGATGTGATGGTTGCTGGGATGATGTGATGGTTGCTGGGATGATGTGATGGTTGCTGGGATGAGGTGATGGTTGCTGGGATGATGTGATGGTTGCTGGGATGATGTGATGGTTGCTGGGATGATGTGATGATTGCTGGGATGATGTGATGATTGTTGGGATGATGTGATGGTTTCTGTGATGATCTGATGGTTGCTGGGATGATGTGATGGTCATCGGTGTGATGTGCGGAAATCCGGGAATGTTTTGGATTGGCTTAGAGTTATAATGTATCTCCCAAGACCTATGTTCTTGAAATTTAATTGTTCTTGAGTCTGGAGTGCTGAATGGTAGGCATGACATAGCAACCTATGAAAAGTGACATAGTCTGGCCTGATCTACACAGCTTTTTTTCATGCTTTGGAAAAACAAACTCAGGTATTCCATCCCTTCACATTTTTATGGGGTGCTGTGGCCTCGTGGTTAAGGGCACTGGATTCGTGGTCTGTGGGTAAAGCTGCAGGTTGTGGGTTTGAGTCCAGCCTGGGGTCATGGTGCATGTGCCCTTGGGCAAGGCACTTTGTCACTCATTGCTTCTCTCAACCCAGGAGTAAAGGGGTACCTGTGAGGGCAGAGATGGTTATTGTGATTGATTTAGCTTCCTTGCGCCTAACAGGCAGCATTGAGCTGTATACTCCACAGGGAGCTGAGATGGCTTTGATCTTTGTTAAAAGCGCTATAAGAACAGCTATTATTATTATTATGGTGTATTGCAATCGTTTTGCATAATTGGCTGTCTTTCACGTGTCCAGTTTGTCAGGCCCTGAGGCAAAACCCCACTGGCATCCCTGTTCAATACTGGGATTTGCCCTTCACCGACATATGGCATGGGCCACACGGGCGATTGTGTAGTGACGGGCCCTAGCTGTTCCTAAAGAGAACAAATATCCACTTTTAGGTAATTTGACTGTGTATATTTGACTTTGTTGACTTTAATTTGATATCTTCAAACTTTAGATTAAAAAATCTCAGATTTATTTCACATCGTGAATTCTAACAAAGCTGTTTACCCTGTCCATGCGCAGGTGAGAAAGATGAACTAGAGCTGTACATGGATCGCCTGACAAACAGACTTCTCACAATCAACATCTCCGTCCAGATTCCCCGTAATCCCCCGCAAGAAGAATCACTTCAACTTGTGAGGACACTTCTGAGAAAGCTTCAGAACAACATGAGGCAAGGAGAGACAGACAGTGGAATGATCCATAGATACCTGAACAGTTGTATGGAAGTGGCAAATGGACCGGTAGATAATACATTCCAGGGAGCATTGTTGGGATGTGCAGTGGAAGATCAGAAAGAGATACGGAAGATACTCACATCAATGTGGGAGGCAAAGGATGACATAGATAGACAGATGGCTGTTCTTGCTTCCATGAGCTTAGCATAGGATCATAAAATGTGACAGTACTCAGTAGACAGGACAAAAGTTAAAAACAAATTCAAAGTTTTTATTTAGCTGTGAACCGGTCTCACATTTTTTTCCGTTCTTAAGCTGGCAAATCGTATAGTGCCATCATGTATTCAACTACATGTAGGTCTTCTTTTATTGTTTTAAATCGAATCCTACATTTAATTGCAGATTATTTCACTTCCTTTTTCTGATTTATCATCCTGGAGGATTTTTTTTTAAAGGAAAGTAAAGTCCGTAATGTACAAGGTCTGATTCCCATCTCATGAATACGAAATGACAATGACAATGGAAGCATGGAACCAGACAAAGAGTCGTCACGGTGATAGTTTGCAAGTCCCGAAAAACACTCGCAGCTCATGTTTAGTGCCGTGCCAGTAAAAGAGCTGGAAAAAATGGGACATCGGTTCACAGTCAAATATCCACTGGCAGATATATTTTGTGCATGTCATCAAAGGCATTCCTCTAATTGTTTAAAAATGATGAGACATTCTTTTTAATTTAAATGTTTCCCGTACTACATGTACATGTGTATGTATTTCCTGACACCTGAAGATGCCAGTGTGATATCAAGTTGGCCAAGGGGCAGAGTTGTAACGAGTCACTGAATTTTGTGACTCAAGTTGAGTCAAGCCATTTTAAGGAAGTGACTTGAGTTGAGCCATTTTAAGGAAGTGACCAGAGTTGAGTCTTAAGGTCAAAAAGGTAGAGTCTAGTCGAGTCACAGTGTGTGTGGTCAAGACAAATTTATGCTCGAGTCAATTCCAGTCACTGATATTTGAACATCATCTAATAATTTACAGAATGGAAGAAGGAACACAAGGCAACAGTTTATTATGAAAATCCAAAGACTTAAAATATGCTGCATGGTACCCAATAGACAGTTTCTGCTAGACGTTTTTACCAAAGATCTACAGTTAACAAGAGGTGAAAATTTGGTTTAATCTCTGGTTTGGCTTCGGATCTGGTATAATTTGTACACTGACAAGGTCAAAACCAAATTGCAACATTTTACAAAGCTGTTTCTGATTAAAGCAGGACATAAATTTAGCCGGAATGTAACAAGGTCTTAAGAAATCGCCCAAAGCCGATGATGAAACCAAAAATTGGTCAATGCATTTAAAAGTCTGGTAGTTTGTGTGCTACATCATAAAACCACGAGGTATTAGTCTGTGATGCGGCGAATACTTATGTGGCCACAACTTGACAGTAATGGAAGTACGCGAACATAAGTAACTTGATACTGTTAGTCACTGCAAGTACAGGTATTTGCACAGTTTTGGGACTCCAGTAATATTAGTCGAGTCAAGCATTCTGATGAGGGACTTGAGTTGAGTCTAGTCATTTACCCGTTAGGACTCGATTCTAGCCGAGTCGCAAAAAGTTGTGACTCAAGTCGAGTAATTGACTCAAGTCATTACAACTCTGCCAATAGGTACTCCTCATGTAGCCAGAGTATTCTTCATTACATTTCTCATATTGTACATGTATTATTGAAACTACAATGTATGTGTAGAATGACACAGTTGGTGATACAAAACTGTTTTACCCTGATTGATATCAGTTCATTTTATAATTATTTTCCCAGTTATTTGAACACGTTTTCCACTCCACCTCACCAATTCTCACATGCTTTTTGCAAAATCCATTCAGTAATTTATCATTCAATTTCAAAGTTAGTTTCAAGTTTTGGTCAACCCGGCGTTTAAGTACCCAATATGCTGGACGAATTTGAACAATAGAATTGGTGAATTTGAATAACTGTTTTAAATTAAAGGGAATATACATCATTTGCTTTTGCTGTAATTTTCAGAAATGGATGGAATTGGGGGGTTGGAAATATATAGCAAATATAGTTACACTGACTTTTTTGAGGTTTTGGGTTCGAAAATGCTATAAAAACCAAGAAAAACAATCATTTTCCTGTAGTCTGGTTTCCTGACTCCATATAGGAAGAAACAGAGCAGTTTACATACATTGGGGAATTGTAAGGTCAGGGAACCAGTCTAGCTGGCTTGTACCCATTCATAGGTACATGTATGTAATCGATTGCAAACAAGTGCGATGGTCAATTGGGGCCAGTATTTGAAAAAAAGCCAGTTTTTTCCAACGCTGGTCGGCCGACCAGCGTTGGAAATTGATACAAAAATACCACTTTTCTTGAAAATGACAGTATACCAGGTGCCATGATTTTACAGGATGCTTTACACTGTCATCTACTAACAGTCCAGCAAGGTATTTCAAAATGATTTGGTAGTTTTATTTTTTGATGTTTGCAAATGTTGTATTTTCCCTTTAACTGGGAAAACCTATAGCATAATAACGTAAACAGATTGTAAACGTTGTTTAGCTTAAAAACATTTGCTTTTATTGCTGGGTGCTCTTTAAGTATGCTCAAATCGTTTATTTTGTTTGTGTGCAACTATATGTATACCAAAAAATATCTGAAAATACTAATATGCTACCCTTCGATACATCACTTATATTTAGCTAATACCATTTTGACCTGCAATTTAATGCTCTTTTTGTGTGTGCAATAACCAGTGTTAAACAGTTTGTATCAGTTGTATGTGGATTTTCCATTTTTATGCAGAAGTACTCATAGAACAAAACAACAAGTGAAGGTAGAATTTTAAAATACCCTTTTTTCTGGAGACCAACAAAATGAAGTGTTTCATATTGCCATATTTCAAAGGTTTGGGTTATAGAATATCCGCACGTACATTTACTGCAAAAATATTGAAAAACCCCATTTGTTAAGCAGCAATTTTACCTTGCCTGTACTAATTGAGTGTTTAACATAATTGATTGCTCATTGCTGAATGGCACCAGTACATACGTACTGGCACCATTCAGCAATCTATCATGGTTACAAATGAAGTTCATTTGTCATATTCTGTAGCTTTAGTTGAAATTTGTTAAAGGTAGAGTACATGTAGATCATCTGTCATTTGTGGGTTTTTTTCATTTGAAGCAACAAAAGTGCTCAAAATCTAAAGAAGGATGCTAAACAACTTACCCGATGAGGTTTTAGCTCGGTGAATGCTGAATATTCTGAGAAAACAATATTCTAGGATCTCGGTTTCAATTCAAAAGTTGCTGAGTCATATTTTTTTTTGAATTGCGCCTGAAATCAGCGTCTGGGACACATTCTTATTCAGCTGATTGCAGCTTTGCAATGTCACGCCTTAAACTGACGAATAATAGCAACTGTGTGTGCGTGCGTGTCATGTCAACGCTTGTGCACTCATTCACGGCTTTGTCGAATTAAAAAAAAACAAATTACTAACGGAAATTTCCAAAAATGCGTCTTTAGACGCATCTTTGGAGGTGGCCTTTCATTGTTTTCTTCAAAATGACAGCATGCCAGAAGGAATAATTTCACAGGGAGTTTAGTCCCATTACTATCTTTAAACCAACTATGCTTTTCAACAATAATTTTGTCAGTTACTTTTTGGATAGCTGCAAATGATGTACACTACCTTTAACTTATTTTGAAGTCTCCCCAAAAATTGTCTTGATATAACAAATGTTTGAAATGTTTGTTATTTTTACTCCAGTTGCCTAGTACTAAATCAAAAGGCCAAACTGGAATATAGCAAAGCAAACGTCAGTGAAACTTCTGTTCAATTGCCACACACTTGCAGCCATTGTTATGTACTAGGGAAGAGGTATTGACAAAATGCTGCTTCAAAGACACTCGGACTGTACTAATATAGCCATAAATTTTTGATGTTTTCTCAACTTATTTGTACACATTACAGTCAATATTAAAACTAAGTCTGTATACGTCCACAGCTGAAAGTTATTACTTGATTATACATTCCATAAACATGAGATGGTGTACAAATATTGAGTGGCTCAGCGTGGAATGGGAGGAATATTATCGCAAGGTAAAATCTGGACTTTTCCATTTCACGAGGCGAAGCCGAGTGAAATGGAAAAGTCCAGATTTTACCTAGCGATAATATTCCTCCCATTTCACAATTTAAAGCCACTCAATATTTGTTTTATATAACTGACATGTAGATCCTTGTCATTTGATATATTTGAACTTTTATTTCAATACAAACCTGGAGGAAAATGCATTTGTCTCTTCCAAACCCCTTCACGAAAATGTTTGAACCCAACGCTGTAGCGCTGGCTCTTTGGAACAATACGCGCAACGCTGAACGCGCACACCAGCATGCATTTGCACACAAATACCGCGTCATGATCCTAACTGTTGAATAGTATTTCCCATTCCCCATGGGCGGATAGTACTTTTTGAGCCGTGGCATGAATGGGAACAATAACGAATGCCACGTGATGTGAGTTCCACCAATCAAATGACTAGGATCTGTATGTCAGTTATATAATTGATTTAATTGGAGTTTTTTATTTTGTATTGGGTTTTTCCCTTGCAGTACATGTATATAAAAAAAAGACTGAATACTCGGTATTGTCTGAGGGCATGCAAGAAAAATTCACACACTTACTCAGCGAACAGCAAAACCCAATATATCATTAACATGTAATCATTGCTAAGTCCATCTTATAAAAAAAGTTAGTTTGTTTTCCTTGTCTATCACCTTAATTCAGGATATTTCAAGTGACTGAAAATCTGTAGTATTAAATGATGTTTCAAATGAATGGCATGCTGTGTACCTCTGATTTTATTTACTTGCTGAACAATGTATACAACCACCAATAAATTATAACTAAAAGTAATAATTTGGGAATCAATTATTAAAATGGAAATACAAACAAAAATAAATTGAGACGCCCCATAAATGAATAAGTATAGGGTGTTTTTTTTTGGAGGGGGGGGGGGGGGTAGTCTGAGTATCACCCGTTATCCACGGAGCCAAGTCTCCTGTATAACGTCTGATTTGTCAAAGCATGCAGATTTATGCGATCTCGTGCCTCAGCCAATCGGAATCGACTTTACTAAATCGTGACGTCATTTCATTCCAAAATCAGGACTAAAAGTTTGGTAAATTTGAATGCAGCATTTGTAATACAATAGCCGGACACGTATCACGTAACATAATATAGAGCGCGTGCCAATAGCATTTGTTGCTGTGTCTAGGATATTTTTTTTTATCTATGACGTGACAATGGTGAATGACCAATCGATGACCCGACATGGGTGCATGCCTGTAATAAATAGACCAAAAATCCGTCCGCTGAGCTCATGAATAAAAGTTATACCCTCAAAATATTCTATTTTAGAGAGTTCTGAGAGCCATAAAATTGGGGGATTGAAGAGATATGGTAAGGAACCACTTGCCCAGACTTGGGGCTTCCAATTCTGAGCATTTTGAATGCTATTGGGCTCGAAAGTGGCGCTATTTTGCCATGTTGTGGAGGGAGCGTTTTTCAAGAGGGCTACTTTTCTGCCTAGGGGAAATTAGGGGTCGTCTTCTTTGGGTGAGAATATCTCCAAAAGTCAATGGTCAACCCACCAAAAAATGAAAAGAAAATGAAAGATGACATTTTGATCATCATTTTTTTTGTGCAGCTTGAATACCTGTGAGAGTTCCAAGTATTTTTATGGGGATTTAGCACCTGTGTCTATGGGAAGTTTATTGCAGGGTTGCACCCATATAGAAAGCGCCCACTGATTGGCCAAAATCTAGAGGTCAAGATGTGGTTGTCTTGTATACTTAATCAGCGAATCTGCTCAAATAAAGACTAGGAAGGGGGTGGGGTAGGGGATGGTTGTTTATCTCTTTTAAATTCCATCATCATGTATCTCAGATCAGGTGTGGTGGCTCCCATAAACCTAACAATTAAATCCTTTACATAGATACCAGCATTTGTGTATAATGAACAGTGCCACAAAAAAGTGTTGAATGATGTCCAGAACCCTTCCCCCTCTGTCATCCACTTGAGATTTAAAGGGAATATACAACATATTTGCAAACATCAAAAAAAAAAAAAAATATTTTGAAATACCTTAATACTGGCTGTTAGTGAATGACTGTCTAAAGTATCCTGTAAAATCATGGCACCTGATGTGCGGCCGACCAGCATTGGAAAAAAATGGCTTTTAAAAAAAATAGTATTACACTGCACCCCATCTACGAACACAAAACTTCAAACAAGTCAGTGTAACAATATTTGCTATAAACCACCTAACCCCAAATCCATCTGTTTCTGAAAATTACAGCAAAAGCAAATGTTGTGTATTCCCTTTAAACCATCTGCTCAAGGCCTGAACTACATTCAGCTGAATGGAACTTTCAACTTAGTTCATACCAATTAGGTTGAAAGATTTTTTTCCACAACTTTGTTGGGCAATCATTGTTAATTTCAATTTTAAACTTGCTCAATTGCTAAAATAGATTTTATTTTGAGTGCAGTGTATATTCCCTAAGTGTAACATTCAGCAATAAGCCATTTGCGAGTAAAATTTGAATAAAATCTGGAACGCTGACTTAATACAATGCTTTGCACGTTTTAACCTAGCATTCTCCCGACCAAAGAGACTGTTACTATATCACGTGATTCGGGGCAAGCCGTATGCTAGCAACCCCCAGCTCCGGCATGGTCCGGTGTCTTTGTGCCATTCTCACCCATTGTGAACGATGTATTGGTGCTGAGCGTCGCTTACGTAACTATGCAAGAGCTTGCCCCGAATCTTGTGATTAGCAACAGTGTCTTTGGTCTGGAGAATTCAAAGTTAAAATGTGCCAAGCATTCTGAGCAAGTCATTGTACCAGACGTTTTTCAAATGTGAATTCCAAAGGGTATAGGTTACTCGCAAATGGCTTATTAAGTTTGTCACATGGGGAGATTGGTGTTCTATTGAAAAAAGCAAATTCTCTTTTCTTGTGCATTTAAATGCTCGGGGAATTGCATTTTGTAAGTGGCAAGCTCAATTCA